AAATAAAAATATTTTTGTGCATATAAGTACTTACTTAATAATTACTTAGTAATGATTAAATAGTCATATTTAATTCAAAAGTATTGATAAGACCATTCTTATATTAAATGCTCTGAGAAAGGAATAATAATGTCAATAATTACATTATTTCAATTGACAATTCATGTGTTTTATTTAATGTATTTAATTTAAAAAAAAAACGGTGAGATTTTATTCATAATTTATTTTATATATCTTAAAGTAATACTATATATATAATAATACTTATAAAATATACAATTCAAATAAAAATTAGAGTAATTTGGCAATTATAATTTTACAGTTTTCAGATTGAGAAAATAAGTACAAGATAAATTACTATAAAGTAAATTAGATTTTTCAAATATAATTCAATGCGTTCCGTTCAGTATTTTTAATAAATATGAAAGAGTATTTTAAGTTTAATGATATCAACAAAAAGTATTTTGGTTAAGAAAATAGACAACTGCAATTATATATACTTTTGAATGTAGATATTTCAATGAAATTAATGAAAAAAAATTAAAATAATAATTATTTTATTCTATTAAACTATTATAAAACAAATTATAATGATAATCCATTTATTATATTTTTTATCATGAACAAATTATAATATAAATGATAAAATTTATTTTGATTGACTAAAAAATGCAATACAAATAAATACCAATCAAATACACGATTTATAATCATCAATTATTATGATTATAATAACTTAAATTATTAAGTTACACATAGAATGTTTACAGAATGATATTATCGAATTACATAATAATAAAATATGCAAATAAAATTGTCACAAAATGATATGAATCATATAGCTATTCTTCACTATTTATAAAAAGAAATTTTAAATACAAATAAAAATACAAAACAATCTTACTTTTTTTATATATCTCATAAGATTTATTATGATGACATATTTCATATGATAACATTTGTAAATGTATATCGATTATTAATAATTGATATTGAATGAATTAATAGATATAAAATAAAAAATAAAATTATTTTAAATAATTCAAGTTTTTTTCTATTATAATATATTTATATATCAATGTATGCAATAAAAAACAAAATTATAATAGAAAATGATTACATTTTTTATATACATTAATAATGTTCTTCTAAATTTATAGATCATTTTAAAAATTATCTTTGAAAATGAAGAGCATCGCAAATTGTACGCAATCGTAAAAAACTAATCGATTTGATTATAACTTAGATTTCATGATCTTTATATATACATAAATTTAAAAGAAAATTAAAATATATGTTAAAGTTTTTTCAATTTAAAAATATTTTAATAATGGAATATATAATAATAGAAAATATGTTGAAATATTTTAATCTCGAATTTTCATATAACATTTATATTGTATTTATATTGTATACAATTGTATACAATAACTTTGGATCATAAGTTTGAAAGCACAATGATTAAAATAATTGGAACAATGATTAAAAGAAATAAATCAAATATGAATATAAGGTAATATAAAATCAATTTACCTTATCTTTATAATTCTATTATAATATTATATCTTATCTTATAATTCTATTCTAAGTATTAGTGCCATATAACATCAGGCATATATGATCAGATTACAAATATATTTTAAAATACAAATATATTTTAAAATACCATTTGCTGATTGGTGAAACGTGACGAGCCTCCATTTGACCGAAATGACCTTCATATTATGCTTGGTCACTGGCGCCACTGATGTTTCTCAATCAATTTAACTGATAATTTTTCATGAATTGCATAGCAGAGAACTATATCAAACAATTCACATGTCAAATATTTACTTAAGAAAATAATAGATTTCAGTGATCATAAATTTTTTTCAGTCAATATGTTTTCATTATGGAATTTGAAGATAAAAAGAAAAAAATGAATATTTGCATCTAGAAGATTTACGTATTCGTACATTGCTACGTGACTGTGTGCAGTAACGTAATCGCATGCCAACGTGTCAGGATTTTTATTCTCATCATTATTCAATTTGAAAAATATATTGTAATGTAAATTCTTACATTATTGACGTTGTAAATTCATATTTTATATTATGAACAAGCAAATATAATTAAAGAATTAACTTTTTTTATTATAAAAAAAAGAATAATTTGATACATTTGATACAAAAAATGATTAAATATGATTAACATATTTCGAATTAACTTATACAATGTTTAAAAATTATTTGTAGAATAAATAATAATATTATTATATAAAACAAAAAAATTATAGTTTAACTAAATAATTTAAATAATCTAAATCTTCTATTTATAATTTATTTTCGGTTTAGAAAATCAATGAAAATAAGTTTCATAAAGACTCGATTCAAATTGAACTCGAATCATCATTTTTCAACAGAACGTGATAAACGAATTTGTTATTACGTCATTCTATATCAATATTTAACTCTTAGTATTTTCATTTTTCTTTTTCATTGTCAATTTTTACTTTTTCTTTCATGAAAACTGTATATATATGTATATATTTAAAACTTTGGTATAATATATATCAAATTATACATTTATTAAAAATTAATAAAATAATTATTTTTAAAAATTTATTCAATTTATCTTTTTTTTATGATACTATGATCCTCTATAGTTTAATGTAACAAAAAATAAAACATCTAATAAAACAAATAAAATAAGTTTGATAAAAAGCGCTTAAAATATTAATTAATATATATACATATAATACAGAAAAAATTATATAAAGTATCAAAATAGTAAATCATAATTGTTTTCATCTTAATATGATGAAGTTGCATAAAAATTATAAATCATTTAATTTAATTGATCGATTAATTAGTCGATTAGAAAAATTTTGATGGAAATTTAAATACATTGCTAAAAATTTATCAATATATTATATAATAACATTATTTAAATTCTTTTTTATCAATTCTGAATAAAAAATAGAAATAACAAAATTTAAAGAAAAAGAAATAGTTAGAATTAATTAAAGATAAAAAAACATTAAATATATAAATATATATGCATGCACTAAAATGTGGTTATACTACATTTTCTGATAAACTTAACATCTTGATATAGATTATATATTTTCCAAAATAATTGAAAAATAAATAATTTATTAGACGAATTCATAAACTATTTGAAAAAAAAAATGCAAGTATATTTGAAAAAAAGAATACTCTTATAAGAATTTATTTATTTAATTGTTCTACCGTTAGTTTGTTAGAAAATGCATTTACTATAACCGTAGTTTTATGTATAGATTCACGACAAAAATAGAAAAAGAGAAGGTTTGCAGAGGCAAAGAGAAACGTAGTAGAGAGGAATGGAGAAGAGAAGGGACTAAGGAGTGCAGAGTATAGAGAGAAAAAAAGATGCAAGAAGTGGCAGCAACTGCGAGGTCATAAATATAAGCGCTGCTATACCTTTCTACTATTTGATTGGTCGAGCCTCCGACGAGCCTCCAGTATACTCATGACGATACGTAATGCCGGAGAAACGATAGAATGAACAATCGCACGAAGGCGCGAGTGCTTCGACAAGGAAGAAGGGGAAACAAAAAAGAAAGATCAAAGATGAACCAGACAAGACAAGGATAGCACAAACGAGAAATCTACGAACGAAGAAAAGAAGAAAGGTGCGACCTTCGAACATTGGATCGTGATTACGTGCCGTTCGTATCACGCCACAACACAATACACATCGTATTGTGGAATACCGAATTTTTCTAACTATTGAATTATAGATAAAATAGAATACCATTAATTATTCTATCTTATTTGATTTTAATTAAAAATAATAAGAAAAAAGAAATGAAGAAAGGAACTCTTTATTGAATAAAATTATCAATTAGGCTAAAGAATTTCATGCAATGAAGTAGTATAATTATTTGAGAAATTTAAATTAAAAAGATTATCAAAATAAAGCATGAAATTGATTAATAAAAGTTTTCAAAATATATTCTCTAATATTTAAATTTAAAATTTACTAGAAGTTTAATTTTTTATTTATGATATTAAGAAATAATTCAACATATAATAAAAAAATAAAAAATAATTCGGCGTAGATTATCAAAAATGACATAATATAATTTGATAATTTAACAATATGAAATGTACTTTGTTTTTTGAAATTTTAACAAAAAAAACATGCAATTTAATTCGTAAATGTAATAATTCATATAATATAATAACGACTTGAGTTATCAGCATACGAGCAAAATGATCGGTAATAACGTAAAAAAAGTAGGAGAATAGAAAAGCAATAATCACGTCATTATACCATGTGATCCATCGAACAAACCGTTACATCGCATCATAATAAGCTAGCTTTTCATCATCATTCGCCCATTTCTCCTACTTCTGTCACTGCCAACCATTTTGTCCCGTTTGTTGGTAACTTAAAGCGGAAAATATTTTCTTAAATAAATAGTTTAATAGTGTTTTATTTGAAATGGAATACAATATAATATTATTATATTGATGTTTTGATCAATTACTATTGATTTATTATTTTATGATCAAAATATTAAGTCATGAAATTTAAAAACTACAGAAAAATAAAGGAAGCAGGAAAATAGAAGATGAAGATGAAGAAAAAAACATGTAAAAATACAAATTTGAAAGTGAGTAAGTTAATCAACTTGGTG